GCTCACAAAGGGTTAAATCACAGATAAATAGGCCTACTCCAAAAAAGCTGGTGAACCTATTTACACAACCGTTCATTTAAATTAATATAAATAAATATTTACACACATAAGTTAACGCCCTCGGCCTGACCAGACCAAACCTTTATCACAGATAAAACTTTCCTCGCCACAGTATTTCCAAACACACAACGCTGCATTTTTTTTTTCTCCCCCGTGTGGAGACGAAACACACCCACTTGCACACATTCATTTAGGCACACATGCACGCACTGTCGTCCGTTGGCTGCTCTCACAGGAAGCAGAGGCAGGGGACAAAAATGGATGTAACACAGCAACCAGCATGTCCTCAGGGGTGGGGGGGGTAAAAGGGACGTAACACAGATGAAAAATCCCTCTGTGGTCTCCGACACTGGCCTACGGGTGTCTTCCTCTGCCCTTCTCTGGCTCTCTGCGCCTCCTCTTCCTCCTCTTCCTCCTCTTCTCCCTCGGTCCTGCGTGTGGCCAGTCAGTGGCAGCGGTGTTAAAGCTAGAAATAACAGGTGTAAATACGCGGCCTCCTCCTGCTCAACTGGGCCCTGCTGCCCTCAGCTTCATTTCCGCTGCTTCTCCTCTTTGTCCCCGGCCTTGTTCCTGCCGTCCCCGTGCTGGTTGTTGGAAGGGTTGTTGAGAAACATCTTGTCGAGTCCTTTGAGAGCCTCGGTGAGGTAGTTCTGCAGGGCGGTGAGGGCGGCGCAGATGGCGGGCGACCCAAAGCCGTGTGTGATGAAGGAGAAGTGAGAGAGGCAGCTCTGGATGCCTGGCTCCAGGATGGGCGAGGGCCTGGAGTTGCCCAGGGGAGTCCTGTCCTGGGCCAGCAGGTCTGTAAACTCCTTGCACAGCTGTCTGTGGGCGGAGCAGAGACAAGAACGGGAGTTTAGTCTGGGGGAGTTTAGGATGTTTGGTAACAAACCAGCAACTGCAGCGGTGCCGTTCAGTTTAACGACGTCTGTAGTTTCTGAGGTGATATCACAGTCAACGTCACATCATAAAGATAATCTACATTTTTGTGTGTGGTTGTGTAGTTATGATGAAGAGGAGAATCAAACCATAGAGACCAAAGAACAGCTCAATATCAACATTTAACTTAAGAAGTTGCAAAAAATGTTTTCCTCGGCTCCTATGAATATAAGTTGTATTTATATTATTTTTACCCTTTTAGCAAATTTAGAAATTACACAATTTTGCCCTTTGTGATGATTTGTGATAATAATTTTTTTGGCAAAATAACGTGAATTTGACCTGAGTGAAAAGTCAAAGTACTCAAACATACGTCCACTACGCAGTGCCGTGTAATACAACAGTGTGTGAATGTGACCTGCAGTGAGACACACACATTCAACACACAACTGCAGGAGGCCGCTGCCAAACCTGGAACAAACCGTAGAGTGAAATAATTCCATCCTGACGACGTAGATTACCTGCTGTACAACACATCACTGAGGGGAACGCCAAGAGCAACGTTTTTATAACGGATTACAGCGTGTAATCCTTTTGTCCACCAAAAACAAAAAAACAAAAGAAAAAAAAACCCTCCAAAACAAAACATTGTTTTCTGAACACATCGTGTAATCCTTTTGTCCACCAAAAACATAAAAACAAAAAAAAAATCCCTCCAAAACAAAACATTGTTTTCTAAACACAGTGCTGCACTTTTAGCTTAATGAGTTAAAATTAATTTCTAAACCAAAACAACAACATTTGAATAAAGATATTATATAATTTGTGAAAGTAAAGAAAGGAACATTTCCTCTAAAAATGTCTTGATTTTTTTTGCGCCCTTTAGCTTTTATCAACTTTTATTTCAATTTTGTACTCCTCTGTTGTTCCCAGAATTCCTCAGGAGAGAAAGAGAAAAGATACAGTTTTTGAGTCTCCTTAAAAGTCTTTCCAGAATTATTCTGAAAATGAGGTGAAAATCCAGCCTCTAGATTTGTTAACTGTTCTGTGAACAAGGAAATGTTTATCAGGTTTTTACTAAAAAAAAAATCTAAGACAATCTAATTAAAAAAACAATCCTGGTCGTAGGTGAAATTCCTTGCGATATTAAAGTCGTTAGTTGCAGTTCTCAGATTCTCCTCTTCATGTTAAACATTTTAAATGTAGATTATTCACTGTACATGTAGCCTGAAAGTATAAGCTACGTCTTAGAATTTTTACACTGGACAAAATTAATTAAGAACACAAAAAAAAAATAAACTCCAAAGGTCACGCTGCTGTTTTTAATACACAAATAATTAATTAAACAGTAATGTCTGAAGGGGAAGCATAAAATTAAACCAATGAGCTGATTGTTATCTGACGGCCTTCACTGTTACCTGAACGCCTCTTAATTATTGTCCCAAATTTAATGGCTTGGCTTCATAATGGCTAGTTTTTAATGTTGCTTTAAGCAAATCGTGCTCAGATTTAAGGCCCTGGATTTTATATTCAGGATCTTTCTCATGTCTCTGACACACACACACACACACACTGAGGCCTAAGGGCAAAGCTGCAGCAAATGAGTGACAGGGGGGGGGGGGGGGGGGGGGGGGGGGGGAGTAGTGTAGAAGCCTCCACCCGGGGCCAGACTCCGGGCTCTGGCTGTTGTTTTCTGGTGACTTGAAACACTTCGCTTCTAAATAATGAATTTCTAACAGGCAGCACTGACACACAGTGTTGAAACAGGTTTGAATCTGAGCATCAAACAAGCACCATTGAACACACCCCTTTATAGTACAGTACCCCCCCCACTCACACACACACACACACACCACAGACAGATGGTTTAGGCAGTGCAGGTCAGCAGACAGTGTTATTTATGCAAGCTAAAAATACAGACTTCCTGCAGGGACGATTGTTGGGCTGCTGCGAAACTCTGCTCATCACAAACCAGTTTCACAGTCAAGCGTTGACTCCAGAGACCAACGTGGGCCCAGACCAGGACTGTGTGTTCATTAAAACCAGCAGTAATAAACGCTCTGATAAAGGTGATCACGCACTTGCAGGGATTTAGTTCCCGCCGTTTCAGGACCGTGAAAATCGATGCGTTTAAGTAACTGTACGCAGAGAATCAGTAAAAAAAAAAAAAAAATGGATCAATGGCTGGGGTCAAAGACTGAGGTCAAAGACACTGACACTGGTGCAACATCACAGCTCGTGTTTTTTGTCTGTGAGCTACAGGCGTCATTACAGCATCAAACGGGGTTGAAGCTGAGGAGACACGGTTCATGGTAGACGTTTTAGTAAATGTTAAGCAGTATTTCTCTGACTTTCCTCCACTTTGCTGTTCTACAAAATTGAATTAACTCCAGACATTAACGTCGTCATATTTTTCATTCAGCTTTAGCTAGTCTTTGGCTAACCTTTAGCTATTTCCTGTCTTGGTTCGCTGCCAATTTATGAGCAATCTTTTCAGTTGTTGTTTTTTTTTACTATTTTCATTTTGGGCTATTGACGTGAAAACTGCTGTCTATTATTATCTCTATCTTGGCTCCCTTGAATTTGCTTTTGGGTTTACATCTCTCACCAGTTTTTACTTTACTCTTTCACTCCTTCAGTCATTCCTTCATCCGTTAATTAATCGATTCATTCATCTTTTACGTAAATCTTTTTTTTTCCAAGTGTTATTTTCCAGATTTCTACGGCTGTTATCGATTTACAGGGGGAAAAAAATAGTTCCGTAGTCATCTAGTGTGTATCCAGATCTGACGTATATCAGAAAATATGTGAAGCATCTTCAAAATGGGGGGGGTCTGAGTGACCAGTGAGCTGCTAATGTCTAAAGAACGGTCTAAAAAAATAGAACTTTCAGAGCTGCTCCATGATGGTCTTTGTCCTTTTACCTGATCAGACTCCAAGTGCAGTAACAAAGTGTAGAATTATATGGATTTTATGAATGCAGCAGACAGTGGACGGTGGACAGTGGACAGTGGACAGTGGACAGTGGACTGTCCCCGTGACAGCCTGCAGCCCACTTTGTCCTCATGTCTCTGGGAAATCCAGATTCTAACCAAACCCTCCGTCTCACTCACTTCGTGGCCAGCAGCATGTTTTTCCTGGTGTGCAGCTCGTTGGGGTCTGCGTGCTGACGGTTCAGGTACTCGCTCACGGCTTTGGTGGGAAACTCCGTCTCACAGATGTAACCGAAGTCCCGGGCCAGGTGGACGGCTTCACCTGAGGGTAGGGCAGAGCGTGGGTGGTGGATGTCAGCCGGTGTAAACATGACGTACAGCAGGGTAACTGGTGTGTGTGTGTGTGCTGCATGTGTGTGTGTGTTTGACCTACTGACAGAAAGTCTACTGACATTTTACTGACATTTTTATTCACTTGTATTTTTCCTCTCTTCCCATTTTTCAGGCGTATTATAAAGTAGCAGAATGGAAATAAAACGTCCTATGAATATAGGAGAAAATACCTAGTTTTTCTGAATAAATATTATTAATGTAAATAGAAAATTATAATGACTTTGTTAGAGAAGAATTATATCACTAATGGAATTGTTTTATTATCCCCAAGATGTTTCCCTTTAATTAAAACAAATTTTAAAAAGTATTTATTCCTAGAATTGATTATAATTCCTCAATATCTGGGGAAAAAAACAAGTCATGTCTAAGATGGTGAAAAGTCAGAATTTAGTTATAGACTATAATTAATTATTATTAATTAGACTAATTTAAAAAAATTAAAAATATTGTACGCCCCAAACTCATCTAAAATATTTATATGTAAATGTTGAATATATTTAAAAAATTAGTTAGAAAAAGAAATTACCATGAATACAATCACATCCCATTCTCACTGTCAGATGTTCACGTTGATGACGTAACAGTGGCTTAATTAATTGAACTAATTAACGATGATGAAATGATTTCCAACTGTGTTAAATAATTTGAAAATAAGAAAATAATATTTCTGTATGTTTTGAGATTGTATTATTTGATAGTCGTTACCTTCGACCAGTGACGTCAGCAGAGTGACGTTGGCAGCTTTGCGTCGTCCTGCGGGTAAATTCAGTCCAATCTTCTCCAGCTTCTCCCTCAGACACTTCCCACCGTTTTTGGATTTCGCTCTACGGAGGAGGAGGAGGAAACAGATGTGAAAACCAAATTATTTAGTACTTTTTTTTTTTTTTTTCCTCCTGCTTATTAAATAAACCAGAACTTCCCGCGGGGTCATTCCTGACTCCTACCTTCTCAGCACTCCCCCCAGCAGGGAGGCGTTGAGGCACTCGGGTGGAGACAGTCTCCTCTGCACCTCCCCTACGGTCACTTTGTACTTGGAGGTGGAGCTGAGCAGCGACAGGCGGCCCGGTACCGAACAGAACACCTCGTTAATGTTGACGCTCACGCCCCCGATCAGACCGTCTTTCCCCAGCATCAGGGAGCCGATGTGTTTAGGAGGCATAGGAACTGGAGGGAGGGGGGAGAGGAGAGGTCAAAGGTTAGGGTCAATCATTATGTCAGGTGAAAAATACAAACAAACAAAAAAAATACAAATTGAAGTGTGCACTGGCCTTGGTGGACCATGGTGTGTTAGTAGGAAAATAAATTAGCAAATGTAAGCTAAAAGGTTTTAACAAAAGATGCTGCTATCTTTTTTTTTTTTGTTTTTTTTAACAAAATAATTAGTTTCATCGGATATTAAATATTAATAGGAGGTTTTTTCAGAGGTGATGCGTTTTTGGTCAGGGGGCAAAAAGAGGTCAGGTGTCTGAAAACAACCCGGGGAGCCGCGGCGGGGGGGGGGGAGGGGTTGGGGGGGGCCGGGATATGGGGC